GGAAAAGTGTCCTTCTTACTGAGAACTTCACTAAACGGCATCATCAGCAGGGCATGCTTGCTTTGTGTATGTTAGGATTAAAAAAAGTGGTACCTCCTGATTCTAATTGTTAGAATCAGTGTGCGAGAAGAGCTATGCATGTTGGGACACCTGTATGTGAAGTTAACTACCTACCTTGCTTTTGCCCTTTTCAAACATTTGTCTTACTCTTATAGGGAAGTGTTTAAAAAAAAAAAAAAAAAGAGAGAGAGAGAGAAATGTCTTTCTAGACTTCTTGTGCATGGCTTCCCTGGCTGTAAACACATTCACAAGAGATTTCACCAAAATGATTATATGTGTGCAAACCATATCTAAGTTTGAATATTTTGACTACTCAGACCTCACTTAGTAAAAGTATTTTTAATTCAGCTAGACTGGTACTCAAGTTCACTTTAGTAAATTGGATTTCAGTTGAAAGAATGCAAAACCCTTTAAATGTCGAGCAATCTATTTTTTAACATTTTTCCAATAATGCAATAACCTTCTAGCCCATGTAGGTAAATATTTAGCATAGTACAAATGTTTCAGACCTGAATTATCAATGCCTACTAACTTGATTTATAAAAAAATTAACATGCATTACACTGGTGCTGTTGACTCTTCCTATAACTTTGAAAGTTAAAAATGAGCAAGGGGGGGGGAGGGGAAGAGATGGTTATCACAGCTGTTGATTGATTGATTTATTTTTATTATTATTTTTTCCTGTCAGAATTTGATTAGTGAATATAGTAAACTTGTAAATTAGTTGTTCCACTGACTGTTCAACTAATAGGAGGAGTGCCTTTTAATAGATAATTTGCAATAGCCATGTATGAAACGCCAAACTTCCCCAAGAGTCTCTCTCATATTTAAAAAAAAAAAAAAAAAAAAAAAAAAGACAAACCAAAACCCTATAACAATAGGAAAGACCACTGGCTCTCATTTTAGAGTGTTTAGTAAGGTGACGTCCTTGCTCGTTTCTGGGTTTAGTAATGTAGGTAGGAAAAACTAGACATTATAAGATGTCTGTCTGATAATTTCAAAGCTGGTTGTTACAACAATTCGAGGGAAAATTTATGCAAGTGTACTAGCTCAAGCACAAAGTCTGCTTGGCCACTACTACAATCTCAAATGCCACATGCATGCTATATATGAATTTAATTTTGCACCTCAGATGCAAAGTGATAAAATATTCTAAAAACCAAAAGCAAAATCACATAAACTGAACAAGTTTGTTGCTGTCATCCCTAAAAGGACTTTTTACTTTGAAAGATGGAGGATGAGAATTGTTAGTTGTGCAGTTGACTGGTATCTGCTGTCACTTATTTTATGCAGAAGTGGGGGTTTGGGGTTTTTTGTTTTGTTTTGTTTTTTTAATCCAATTTCCAGGGTTGCGTAGCAAAAGTCTTAAGTGTGTGGCACTTTTTGCAGGTTGCTCTATTATGAAACAATGCTTGATTTAGTGTTTTTGTAAATAGAAAATGTGATTTAACTAATCTGTTTGTTGTCTTCACATGTTTGATATTTTTCCCCTTCCCTTCCCTTCCCTAAACAAACCTAATTATTCTTGGGTTTTAAAGAACTCTCACATTTGTGGAGTGACTATTTTTCATCACATGCCCATTATTTTTGTAATGCAGATGCTTGAAATGAATTTATGGCTAGGATTGTGTACTGTACAGTAAACTTATTTTATCAATAAAGTTGACTGAAAACTTGACTGTCTTCATGAGTGAAAGCAATGCTTATTTTCAAGAAGTATTTCTCAACTGTGGGACAGGTACCAAATGTATAGCCTTTTAAAAGTTGGGTTGGGAGGCTGCTGTGTGGGGAGTGAGGGGCATGAGCAGGGCTGAGGGGGTCTGTGAGAAGCCCCAAAACCCATGGTTAAAATTAATCAGAGAACTTGTGATTTTTCTTTTATCAGGGAAAACCAGGATCCCTGCTGATTAGTGTCAAACCACATTCTGTTGAATCCCATGTAAGCATGTTATGTTGCAGGATAATAAAGCTGGCCAGCTTCTGCAAATCTGAAGTCCAGCTTGAAATTAAACTGACTACTGTATCTTAAATATAATGCAGTAGCTTTTTGCATAGCCAGCAGCAATGGCAGGAGAAAATATTTGATGGTGGGGAGTGTGGGGACGCTTGGGCACAGTGCTGCAGCAGTGTGTGGTGCTAGAGGAGTGGAGCCATGTTTGAGGGGGTGGGTGCTAGGCCCTGTTAGCCCTAGCCTTCTGCTGTCTATGGTAGCCAGTAATAGTAAAAGTTAAATTTCAAGGTTCTTTATTTCTATATTAGCATGTAGAAATAACTTCAGTCACTAATAATCAAAATGTGTGGCCTGTTTACAAGTATTGCCATATAGAAAAGTTGGATGGGTATAGGATTTAGTTTTGTAATTCAAGCTAGAAGTAAGTTGGAATGTACCAATAAATCCTAAGCTGGAATTTGGCTATGGTGATAGTGCCTAATGCCCATTTCAAAATGCACAGAATTAATTAATGTTTAACAGCAGCCCAATGCATTACTGAAGCAGAAAAGATGTAATGAAGGACCAAGTAAATAAAGACAATGTTATTGTAGAAAACCGCTAACATGTTAAATTGATGGTACTGTATTCAGGGCATGATAGAAAAACTAGAAAAGAGGGAATGTTTATGCCCTATAAATAACTGGCTAAACACAAATGTCTTCAGGACTGCTACTAGGACAAGGCCATATCTTGTATTAAATGAACTTAAAACTGCAATAGGAAAAAGGTTGAAAACTAAGGGAAAGTCTGCAGTTAAGGCTGTCAAAAGGATGCAGTTAGCCTAAACTAGAAAAAACCCATAAGGGGAAAGACAGCCATGTAGGAATATCAGAAAGAGCTACCGGAAGTCTGTTATTCTACTACTGGTCAGTGCTTTTGGGTTTCTTCTAATTATCCTAAACTGATGGTAACTTTACTCTAGTTTGGGAGTAGGGCAAACTAAATTGCTGCTGCTAGCAGCAATTCAAAGTGGTATATAGGAATCTTCACTCATCTGACTGTCCTGTAACTGTGTGACTGAAGTCTTAAGCCAATCAGTGAGTTGTATATGTATCGCACACTGAGTTGGGAACTGAGTAATTCCCTACAAGTTGCCCAATGATTGGGTGTACCCACTGCTGGTAGAAAGCCCTCCTTGAAGGCCATGCCATGCTTCCTCTACCTTGCAAACCTGGTTCTCCAAAGCCTAAGAGCAGCAAGTTTCTCATGCAGCATCAGTTGCTAGAAAAAGGCCTAGGTTTTAGGCACAACTCAACTGGAGAACAGCAATGTGGTTGATATTGACACTTAACAGGATCTTGGTACCAGGACTGAAGTTTTAATTATTTAGTTACATTTCACAGGGACAGTCTGCATTCACAGTCAATTTGTGTTCAGAAGCTGCTCCTGAGTCAGGGATTTTTAGTGAACTATTAGATCAGCCTTGCAAACTCTTTTCAGTTTAATATGCAATAGATTTTATCCAACATGGTGAAAGTGGGTTTGGGAAAGGTGCATTTACTGGACGTTTATGATGTTCCAAACTGAGCCACCCATCATTTTTTTCAAAACTAAACTTTTGTTTCAAGTTGGCTCTAGCTACTGTTCAAGTTTAGTCTTTGTTTTCACCATTAGCCTTACAGCCATGAGTGCCACAATGTTTTCTTAAACGAAAGCTGACACTGAAATATGCTCCTAATCTATCTGAACAGCAAATTACAGGGACATTTGAATCCTGTCAAAGACATTATCAACAGGACCCTCTTATCCAGTAGTAGCTCTGATTAATGACAGCTAGAATACTGGCTATATTCCAGCTCTCCCTCAAAAGGAGGAAGGGACCAGAGATGCAAATGATCTTGAATTGATCCATTTTTTCTTGTCCTAAACAAAAAAACCCCATGACTCAGTGCTTTAGTTCTATCATGATAGGGGGCACTAGAAACTAGTATGCTTATGCCTATAGTACTTCATACAGTTGTTGGGTCCTTTGTTTTGTTTCAAAAGGGGAGACAGATGCCCTTCATAAAAGTGAATGTAAAAAGATTATAACATAATACAGAATCCCTAAATTGATTCTTGTGGCAAAGGGGGTCTTATGGGCAGCAGACAGCACAGTACTAGCTAGTATGTCTTAAGCTGTGGACACAAGTTACTATCTCTTACATTTTTCATATAGAAGAGTTCAAAAGTAATTGGTTTTGACCATACTGTGGTATAACCTTCCCAAGGTATGGTCCTCAAGCTTTATCAGAATGGATAAAAAGGTGACATTACTCTGCTTGACTAGTAATTGTTGTCAGACCACTCCGCTGCAGCAGCCTCTGCAGATGAGGTGATACCCATGTTTTATCCAAGAGCTCAAAAAGATTAGACCACTCACCTACAATATGAGAAGCTTCAGCCTTAGTTCCTCCTGAGATTTTAACCCACTTCTGAGTGTCCTAGCCATCAAGCAATAAGCGGTCAAGGGTAGGAGCACTTCAGTGCCTTTTTTGCAGGAATTAGGTATAGACTGTTCAGTCATTCCATACGTTATGCTAGGCAGGCAAGCAATGGCTCCAGGCTACAGCCTGGATTGGAAGAGGTTAGACCTGTGTTCTGGTCCAATGACTTAAGATTCCCTGCTCTGCCTTAACTTGCTGAAGTAGCATGTGGAGTTTATTTAATCAAAAGTTAAATTTCCAATTTTTAAAAAGATTGGAAATGTATAAACAATCTCCTTTCTCCAAGGAATTGTCCAATCAAGTTATAAGCAGTTCCAATCACATACTCCTATTTCATACAGCACTGAATAGCTGTCATCTCAATTGGGACCTCAAGTTGTAACTTTAAGAATGCAATCCCACCTCATCCTTTGAAGCTCTACAGGAAATACAAAGAATGCAGGATGCATGCAGCAGTCAGAATGGGTTCAAGACATCTGCATACCCGAAGCATCAAGATCAGACCCTTTTGATTCCACGTACTGTTGAAACATCTTTATTATAAAAAGATAGAAAATATTTGAGTTAAATCTGTTTCTCTCTCACAATGCTGAGCTTGGTAATTATAAAAACAAGATAAACATGTTTCAGAGTAGTAACACAAAAATAAGTGTTTGCTACTTTGGCCATTGTATGTGGCAAAGTTATGCTCTGTAGTATCAGTGCTATAAGGCAGTCAACAAGCATCAGTCTGGTATACAACATGGAGGTAGGCCTCCCCTTCCCCTAGGTGAGCTGTGGGGAACAGCGCATTTGGAGTGAGCTCCCTAGCAGGTAGAGATCAACATGGCTGTTGAGTTCCACCTAGCTTTACCACAAGATAAACTTTACCTCAGGTCAGCCTTAAAGATGAACATTCCATGGAGTGAAAATTAAAAGACATTGGCCTTTAAAATTTCTCTCATTAGTATTAAAATGGTCTCAATATCAAGACCTCAAAAAGAAAAAAAGAAAAAAAAACAGCTTTGTTAACAAGTTGGGAGGTTGTGTGGCTCACAACTGAAGTTCGCTTGGGTGACTTTGTATTGTACTGTTAGTGGTGGTTTCATTATAGATTATTCTGTAAAGATTTTCCTCAGAGCAACAATGATCAATGCTATTTGCTGCACAGATGGTAGAGGTATAAGTGCAATGGGGGAAAAAGGAAAACAAAGCCACTTGAATAAGCCTAGATCAGGGCCCAGAAGGTAAGATGATAGCTTTCAAAAAAAAAAAAGTAAAGTGTGACATCACTATGTGTACACACACAAAAAGTGAAGGACAGTTGGACAGGTTTTAGAGTGGAGGGGGAGCTGGAGGAGAAAGTCCTGTGTTTAAGTGATCCACAACTATGACACTCCTATCCACTGTTCAGAAAAAATACAAGTTTTTAGTGATGAAGTAGAGAAATACAATCATGGTCTGTGAAGTAGTAAGGTGGTCCTAGAACTCCTTTTAGACAATACTTTAATCTGAGTGCATGCTGTTGAAAAGGCAGAGTGCAAGGGGAGGCTACATATTTGTAGCCAGCAAGGTTTCAGGTCAACACTGCACCTACAGCAAGCTGTTCATACCTCTTTCCCAAACCCTCCCCCCAAGGGAAAATAAAAGCATTGATTTTAAAAGTAGTGCGTCTCAAAGTCCAAGATACGTTGGGGTTTTTTCCTTCTTTTCTGGAGGTACTAAATCAGGTTGTCTAGCAATTAGTGCAGGTTAACAACACTTTCAGTTTCTGATAATTAAAACAAGGCCATTCTTTCTTGGACATGGCAAGGAAGAAAAAAAGAAACCCAAGTAAAAGAAGAGGAAAAACACTTCAGGAAGCAGGTAAGGGGAGGGAAACCTTTTGTGTTCTATTAGCAGCCATCATCTCTGTACTACTAGGCAGAGACCAGATGAATAGCTTGCCACAGAAGTGACAGCAAAACCAGCTTAAACCAAGGGCAGCGAGAGCTTCTCTTATTCCTTCCCAGAGCAAGAGCCTAGTTCTTGAATCTAGGCACACAGGAATACAGAAGCATGAATCCAGTGCAATTTAAACTCACAAGTTTCTTGGTAGTTTATCACGGTTCAACAACAGTTAAAAATAGTTCTTGTGTTTAGAGATATGGGTTTTGTACCTATTTTGAAGGTTTAATAGGCAACGACACTGCAGTAAAAAAGGTACTTCCTTCAAGATAGTCTTCCGCATCGTTCTTCCCTCGTATGTTAAGCACAGAATGTGCACATTTGTTAGGAACAGAGATAGGTATTTTGGATGGGATTTTTGCAAGACAAGGGTAGAATTCTGACATGGCACATTTTGATCACAAGGAACCTTCTTACATTTTTTTTTTTAGTCTTAGTCTTGCTGTACCTGCACATTCAATATTTCAAACACAAGACAAAACACCTTGGTCATTGCACTCAGTGTACTCCAACCTTAGTACAAGCTCTCTGCAGCCAGCAAGAGTTGCATATTAGAGTAGGGCAAGTGAGCCATTTAAAAAAAAAAAAAAAAAAAAAGTGGCATAAGCTAGTGTCCAATACACCATTTATCTTCCATGTCCAGCACGCACACTCTCTGAAGCAGGATTAGCCAATAAGAACAGTCTAGCACTGCTGGATGGATGTTGGTCCACAAACATCCTTAGTTCAGTAAATTCTTAGAGCCCTTTTTAGCTGATGTCACCACAGTGTTGGGTCAGTCAGTCAAAGTAGTAGTGGAGTTCTTTCCCCAGCTGGTTGCTCTTTCCGGAAGAGTTCCCTGATCTGCAATAGTTTGTTATGGATCCTCTCTCTCAGCGGAGGGATGTGGTGGCTGGGATCCAGGATATTGGTGCTTCTACGCTCCCTTTCTCGCTTCCAGATCCGATAAGGGTGTGGTGGGAAGGGTACCTCGCCTCTTTCTCGGCGAAGCTGCACTGTTACTCCGCCAAGTGCCAGCATTGCCCAGACTGCCAGGATGATAAAATCTAGAGGGGAGAAGGAAGTCATTAATTCCACTGCAATGGCACCAGCAAGACAGGATTCCTCTCCTCCTCTGTCCCACCACCCCACCTCCCTGCAAAAGGCACCCCAATTCATGTCTTGGATAGATGTCAATATTTCCACGTTTCATTTTGGAAAAAAAAAGGGCTAAAGCTCTTGATATGCAGTCCTGTACTTCAGTTTGTGAAGGGTATCATATGGATTTGGTGCCTACAATAGCAGCCCACCAAGCTCAGTGGTAAAGCTGAATCCTAAATTTCTTAAAAGCAATTTAGGATTCTGGCTTTTGCTGCCTTACTCCCCATGATTTGTTAACCCAGATTAGGAACAGCTTTTGTTACCTTTTTAACTGCCTATAAAATCTTCTTTAAAAAAGAAAAGAAAAAAAGAAAACAAAGAAACAAGGTCCCAAACCCATAGCAACATCTGGAACTCCAGCTTTTATACAGCAGCGTGCAGATGCCAAGTCACCTGATTTTTGTACATTCACAAGATAGCTAGGGGCAAAGAAACATGGCTACATATTCACTAGGTGCTCTAATATCATAGGGGTTAGGGTAGGAAATGGTCAGTTCTCTGAAGCAAAGTCACAAGCAGACCTACAGGTTTATGGCAATACTGCTCACCATTTGTTTGGAAGGGCACATTAGTATAAGCTCTGCTGAAGTCATTCTTCAGAATTCTCCGGAGCAGGTCCAGGGTGATGTAAGCAAGGCTCGTGTACAGGTAACAAGCAATAGCTAAAACCACTGAATAAGAGCCTACTATACCACAAGCCAGTATGTTCAGCTACAAAAGACAAAAGATCAGATCATTCTGCACCTTCCAATTAGGAGCATTATTTCTCCCCAAAGGATAACAGGAGGGAACTTCATAATAAAATTTTAAACAAAGATGCAACTTAAGAAATCTGCAAGCACCACTAGTCCTGTAGCCTCCTATTACCATTGCTTTCTCCCTCTTCTCCAGCCCACCTCCTCCTGCCTCCCTCAAATGATCCCCATGTAGTAAGTCTTATCCAAGGTATTGAAGTTCTTCAGCATAATTTTTCTAAATGCTTATACAGCACTCAAAATAATGGGATCCCAATACAATAAATGAAGAGCATTTCTCCATAGCTAGCATGCCACAGCAGCCTTGCTCTTTGGAGAGCTGGACAAAGTTGCATGATGGTTTACTGAAATTTGCTGAAGGTCTCAGCCATGCATCCATCCTAATTGTAGGAAGTGTTGTGCAAATACTTACAAATCTTGGACAGCCAACAAAGACTACTGGAATCATCAAGGCTATGCAAGAAAAGGTCACCCAAAACACGGCATCGTCACGAAAAACCCTGTAATCTCCTGTGAAGACACCATTCTACTTGTCAGCCACAGATGTGCCTAATGAACTCGCATCTATTTTCAAATTAAATGCCCCAACAACATGAAGAGGAAAATCTCATTCCAACACACATGGTGTTATAAAACCTCAGTATGGCAAGCCAAGACCCTAGAGTTACATTTGAAGTTACAGGCAATAGCACTCACATGCCAAATTCCTTCCTGTCTGTGCTATGCAGCACTAATACCTTTAAGACGAGTCTCTAAGACAGCCCATAACCAGTCTGTGTTCAGTGCAATAAGCTATAAGTAAATGTAAGTCTGCACAACAGAATCAGCAAGAGGAAACTTATATGTAAAGCTTCTTATTTAGGATAAGGAAAAGTCTTTTACCAGATTTGAAGGAAACTCTTGATGCCTAACTGGATTTATAGACCCAGTTTCTGCTTCAAAATGAATTCAAAATGCGCAGATCTCTCCACCAATGCAAAGCACTCAGTTTTGTTACAGGACTGCACAGAGATCAGTGTTCATACTTCATTAAGTGACATGCACAGCCTATAGTATGCAGACATGCCTCCTCTTCAGTTTGCATTAACCCCCTGGCCAAAGCTGGGGAGAGAGAGCAGAAACTGCTGCTTGAGTTCCACTGCCAGAGTAAGGCTGAAGATTAAAAGAAGTCTCCGGAGGTTTAAGCAAAGAAAACAGCATTGCTTATGCTGCTGACCCAGAGGGACTTCAGTTCAGTCATCCAACTGTATAAACATGCTTTTAGATTCTTCTTTCAGATTCACTAGAGAGATGCAACAACAGTAAAAACCTGTTAGTGTAGTCATACTAGATGCTTTGGAGCACAGCAGTACAGCTGGAAGCAGGAATCCAAATTCCTCAGGGACAAGACTATCAACAAGGTTCTGCGTTTGTGTTTCAAATCAAGGTGTTCTATCCTGGATGAAAGAGAGGTCTCTGAATCTTCAGCCAAAACTCCCCTGGTTGTTACTGCATTGCAGATTCTCCATTGTTACAACTGGCCTCAAGACAGTTTGGGTGAAAGAATAGGGCATGTAGAACAGGTAGCATGTTCATCCACACATGGGGTAGAGCTGACATCCCATTCAGTTGCTGAAACAGCAAGCTGCCTAGGGACAGCTCCAACTATAATACAGGCTTGTTTGCAGTTTTGCCACATTTATATAGAGAAGCAAGACTAGAAAGGCTAGGGGATTCCACCCCTCTCCCCTCTTATGAACACTCTTAAGCAGCACTGCAATGACTCCTCACTTTAAGAGAGCTGCAGAGATGTAGCACAGCCCTCCCAACATTAAAAAGATGAGAGAAGGCTTATATGCCTACTTCCCAGTTCTACAGGCACTCTCCATAGACTAGCCAGAAGGTGGCACCCTCCTCTGGAATTGAGCTGCATCAGCAGATAAATATGAAAAGCCAACCCTCCGCTTTGCTTGGCTCACTGCAACTGCAGTCTCTGGCAGACTCAGACATTAACAGAGGGCATACCTAGCGGAGTGAAGAAGATCATCGATGCGAAGAGGAGTCCCAGCATAAGTCCAACAAGCACCATGCAGAGTGGGACAAAACCAAACCTCCACCAATAAGCAACCAGGAGAAGCCCTCCAACAATTCCAGCTACAGCAGTCAGAATCAGGCAGACTGTGAAAGAGAAAAAGAAAGTGTCTCTAGGATTTCAAATATCTCTGTAACCTGTTATTTTGAATGACATTACAACTCAGAAGGCTGCCATTACAAAGTTTCCATGCATTGCAATATCATTGTAGATTTCAGTGTATAAAATTTAAGGTCTTAATATTTGCAGTGGTCAAATGCAAGTACTTGGCTGTAGACGTGCGCTGCTTTTGCATTTGATTTTTGTTCCTCCAAGTGTAAACAGCCCTGGATTCTGTTGTCATGGTTTCTTCTTCCTGCCTTTGGTAAGCATCAGGCTAACAAAGCTTGTGCGTTAGGGTGTATGAAACGGGCCCTATTCGATTCAGATTGAAGTACTTCCGGTCCACTTCTGGGTCTGCCGCCAAGCGCACTGGGGAGCCCCCTCGCATCCCCCCCAGCTCAGTAATTGGCCACAGGGGGACCCCAAGTGCCCCCCAGACCCAGAGGAGGCACCAGTTGCCAAGCTGAGAGGAGGCGCGAGGCGGCTCTCCGGCAGACCCAGAAGTGCTTCTGGTCCACTTCTGTGTCTGCTGCCAAGCACACTGGGGACCCCCCCACCACCCCCCTGGGACGCTCCATCTGCCCTAGTATTAGCATTCATGAGCTGCCTGGAACCTAGACGTACGTAGAAAAAACACATTTAAAACCGTGTCTATGAATTGTTGAATCTTTCCGAATAGATTCAGAGGGTTCCAATTCGATTTGGAGACATTAAAGGGTCTCCTGATTCGATTCGGATTTGGAGATTTGGCCACCGAATCAAATCAGTTGCTGAAGCGTCGCACAGCCCTACTGTGTATGCTAACAGTACCTAGAACAGAGATTCTCAACCAGGGTCCAGCAACATGCCGGGGTGATGCATCACTCGGCCCCTGCATGAGACCGATATTCTCCTCCCTAAAGCAGCCCTGTGTGCCTAATGCAGCTACCCCAGCAGCACCCATGGCTGCTTCTCTGAAGACTGCAGCTTCCTCAGGTAGTCACTGTGCCAACTTCCCCCATGTTTCCAGCAGCCTGCTCTGATGCAAGTGGGTGACAGCCAAGCTGTGCATCCCAGTTAGTTGCCTCCAAACTTCCTATGCTCCTAGGGCCAGTGGCAGGGGCCACATGAATGGTCACCAGCTTATGAGATTCCACAGGATCAGTTGAATAGGAGGGGGCCACACTCACCACTACAGGTACAAACTGGTGACAGAAAGTGGAAAGAGCTGGGCACAGCAGGTTCCATCTTGCCACTGTTACCTGGAACAGCTAGGTCAGTGGTTCTTTTTAGCCTCAATGCACCCCTCTATATGTCTTCTCTGAATTTAGATTCTAGTTCAATGATTCTTAACTGAAATGCCATGAAATTCTGAAGTTATGGACAGCAGTATCTTGAGACTAAAGAGGTTGAGAACCATTGACTTAGGTTTCCCCACCTCCTGCATCAAGGCTGCCCTATTCTAGATTCTATAAATAAAGAGTAAGCTCTTCGGAGGCATAAGCAAAGAAAATATAGACCTCATTTTACAGGTGATATGAAAAGCTTGATTAAAAGGGGGGTAGGCTCTTCTACTATTCAGATACTATGGCCTGGCCACACGCAGCCAGATTGAAAAAGGAAGTCTGAACCAGAGCCAGGAATTAACCCCAGATCCCGAGGCCCAATCCACTACAATAAAGAAGGGTGGCCTGGTGACTAAAAGGAAGGGGGGGCAGGGGGAAGAGGCGAAATGTTGCAATTTTTCCATTATCTTCCAAAGTTCTAAAATTTGAATCCAAATTTAAGCTTCTGGTGTCCTGCAGTTAAACAGTAACAGATATGGTTTCAGGTTGTGAAATGACAGTTATTTCTGTGTTATTTGGAACCGCTTAGGCAATAACCATTAAGACTCAGTTCAGTGGCCTTGCATGTTTCCTAGGAGATGGCAAACAAGTCTGGATGCATGCATGCACGCACAACTAGTCCCCACCCCTTTTCCCTTTGTAAGTGGAGACCCTGCTAATCCCCATGGATTTCAATAGGATTTTCAGAACATGATCATATTCTTCCCCTCACCCCTTCCAAAAAACTGCAAGTTTGTCTTTACTCACCATCAAAACCAAGGTTAGTCACTCTTGTAATTAATACAAAGAAAAATAATCCCATGAAGATGAAGCCCATGTAGAACAAGTCTGAAGTAGAAACATAAAAAAAGAGAGAGTAGTTCAGCTTGCTTTCACACAGCCTTCTACACTATACCTACTTCAAGAACAGTTGAAGAAACCAAAACCTATTAACTGGGATCCCCATTAAGCAATGTGCTGACACTTGGGTGGGAGGGGTGGAGAGGAAGGGGAAGAAAAATCAGGTTTTCAAGTATATGGCACTGGCAAATGAACTCACTCCTATAAAAGACTAAAAAAATTCAGCTAGTCTACAACAGGTATCCTAGCCCCTCTCCCACTAGTTTCAACTTCCTGCTCTGTTAATACTCAAGGCCAGAGTTTTAGTGCACACAAATGATCATCTCAGTAGAATGGTTATTTAGAATAGAGACCTCGCTGTGATGTATGCAGCAATTCATAGTTAAGATGGACCAGGCTTGTGAATTATGTAGTTGACACCCATGAAATCTTGACTCTGTTCAACACACACAAGCCAAACAGTACCTGTTTTCCAGAACCCGTGTCCAAAGAAACAAATGAAGAGGCCAAGGACAGCAAGAATGGTGAAGAATATTTTGGTAGGGAGTTTGGCTATAAGGAAACAAATGAACAGGTAAGATGATTTTTTTACTTTTAAAAACTTGTTTGATTACACAAACAAGGCCAAGAACTCACTATTGATACCAAGTATTGACTGTTCAGATGGACAAGACCCTATTGATACTTTTGACCAGCACAGCACTTGTAGCAGTTGAGCAGTGCCAAAACTCAGACTGTGGGTTTTTCTACCCATTGCATTAGTAACAGAATTGAAACTCTGAAATAGAGCTCTAGAGCTCCTAGCTTTAAGCTGTACAAGTTTACATATAATTTAAAATGAATACAAAATCTTATGCTAGCAAGGTATTGATAGCTTTTACCATCCAGATAGCCTTCCAGTTTTGGAAACTAGACTGCATGGCAAGCCACAGCCATACTGAACTATACTGTTTATACTTGCTTATGCCTAACAAGGTTATGGCATAAGCAGCCATTCAGGAGACTTACCCCTGTCATGTGTTAAATAAGTATATCACCATAACTCCCCTCTACTGAGACAAAAAGCTCTTTATACAGACAGAAATTCTGCTTTCTGTAAGCTTCCTTATTAGCTTGGAATAGTTTGAGGGAACTTTCTAGACGTTTGTGTGTTATATTCTTGTGTTTAATGATTTAAAGGAAGGAAGCTAGTTTAGCAGATTCTCTTAATGGTCATGAAAAGCCCTAGACAGACTTTCTTACCTCCACAAACTGCAGAATGCTTTGGCTGAATGACCTCGGCTGTTTAAGTTATAGCGTGTGGGAAAAAAGTATATTCGTGTGCCAAGATTAACATAAAAAACAATAGGCTCTACTCTGCACTGCATTTCCGTTTGGGCAAAACTGGTGCCCTTGTAAGGCAGATGCAAGACACTATTGGAATTTAAGTGGTACCTATGCTTTCCCCTTAGAATCAATGTACTTCACACAGCAACTAAGCTCAAAATTTGCTTGAGGCACTGGAGAATTAGGCCTCATTTTTCTGCTGTCACCCTCCCCTGTCAACAGTTATGATCAGAGGAATAGTTGTGTAAAGACGCTACCTTCTTACTCAAGAGATTCACTCCCTACATGGAGTCATTTAATCAGATTGGCAATATTGAATACCTTTATTCCTGGTCACCCTGCCAGGTAGTGCAGTTATAGGAGCAAGCTGGATTCTCTCCCCTTTTTGGCCCATGTGTCACAGTTGTTGACCATGTTACTGTTGATGTACAAGACTAAGAACATAGGCTAACCACAAGAACAAGTTGTCAAGCTGAGAGCCAGACAATGAGTGCTATGTGTGCATTTCTGTGCCACACATGTGCGATCTTTGAGGTCACCACCTCCACTTGATCAGCAAAGAATTCCTGAGGGGCAGGGACTAAAATATCTGATGGTATCCTGCAAGGCTGCCGTCATATACAGAAGTCCTAGCTCAGAACTTGGGAGTTTCCCAAAGTGGGAGTATATATGAACTGGTACAAAAACTTATTTGACTTACTGGGAGAAAGACAGTTATCCACTAGGGTAGCAAGGCTGCAAGCATATGTATGAGCAGGTACATATGCTGCAGAGGTATTCCAGAGTGGATCCCAAACAATGATGTTGTAGATGACACCTTGTCCAGGAAGTGAGGAAAAGTAAGCATCAGTTTTGTCATTAGTTGTTAAGGTAATCATCTGAAACAAACAAACAAACAAACAAACAAACACACACACACTTCCATCAGTTGAGGGTTACTTTTATTATTCTACAAAGGGGTCTTCCTATTTCCTCCCTTGACTGCATGCCACTGAGCAAGAATGTTTGCCACATCTGTCAAATAAAACCCTACCATAGTTCTGTTGAGCACAGACTCCAATAGTGCTTAAAAATGCAGAGGGAAGACTATGGCCATGTACAGATGTTCCATTTGTCTGGATAAAAACCCTTCTCCAGGCAAAGAGAGCTGCACAGATATTCAAGAGATCAATCACTATAGAAAATCTGGCTCTTCCATAAGATACTAGATGGGGTACCCGTGAGGAAGATTTCCCTGCTCCTGATCCAAATTGTCCTTGCCAGAGAACTGTCCATCCAACCTGATGGAAAGCAGGGCTCCCCCAACACTCTGGCCAGAGACAAGTTGTCAGGTAAAACTGTGGGGACCCTGGCCACTATCCCACCAATCAAATGATTGATTAGGGGATGGCAGCCAAGTAGGAGGGAAGCAGGAGGAGCATTCTCTTGTGGCAGGAACCCTCCTGCAGCCCCAGGGCCACCCCTGCCATAGGAACCTGGAAAGGTGCAGCAGGTTTGGGGCTGGAGCCTTGGCATGATTCCAGCCCAGGAGAGTTCCACCCCTGCCTCCCCAGCCAGTCAACGGACAGGTGGCACAAAGGAGGGCAGAAAGCAACCTTGCAGCCATGGGAGATCAAGAAGTCAGCCTCAGGCAAACAGCCCTCAAGCCCAGTCCCCAGGCTTTAAGGAGGGCCACCTCTACTGCCCAGATGGGTGGTGACAGCAGGGATTGCAAGGTCTCTGGCCAGGCACAGGGCTGGGGAAGCTATCCCCATACCAGTTCACAGCCTTGCAGGTTTTAAAATGCCAAATGAGTTGCACATGGGGCAATTTAAAAGCCAGGGAGCCAAGACTTAGGACCTACCACAGAATATAGACAAGTAGCAAGAGAATCCAAATGCAGAGGAGCCTGTAGCTTCAGCACATCACTCTGCTCATCCATTTACCCCTCTGCAGGAATCTGGAGCCAGAGCAACCATAGTTTGACTTGCCAGCAACATTTGGCAAAACTTACTTTCATGCCATTAGCTTTGATGCTCTTCACCTCCGACATCTTCCGTAGGTGGCTCATGAGTGTTATTTCTGAAAGATCATTCTCTGGCAAGAAATACTGATAAATATCATAGTGTAGTCGCCATCTAGAGTTCTGTCCAGTACCAGAATCACAAGAAGGAGGACTCTCGCCTCTGGAATTAAAAAAAAAAAAAAAAGAAAGAGATTCTACTGGCTACAGACAAACTAAAAGGTGCCTGTACACGAGCGTAGAGGCTGCTCCTATGCACTGCAATTCCAGCACGTCAGAGCAGCCTCTCGCGTCTCATATATCAGCATCCCTGCACTTCAAAATGGCAGCAGGGGCACTTGAACTAAAGCTTGCTCAATGAGCTTTAGTTCAAGCACCCCACCACCATTTTGAAGCATGGAGACGCTGATACACGAGACACTGCGGCACTAATTAGAGTAGCTCTTGGAGCAGCTTTAAGGCACCAGTCCACCCCCAGAGCACAGAAAAAGGGTGCCTCAAGACTCCAGATATGGAGGTGGTATTCAGTGGAAAGAAACAGAATACCAGGTCTGAAAAACTGGTACTTCAAATTTAGATCCCAGCCTGGACTTCATTAAAAGTTTGGGGTACTTGGGGTTCTTTAGAGAGAAATTCTAGATAAAAAATTGCACTTCAATCTATCACCAAATTACAGTGACAACTTGTAACATCGGGAAAGGATTGTATTTCACTGTGCATTTCTACAGGCAAGTAAGACTGTGTTACTACTCTGGAGCTTGTTTATGACTAACAAGTCCTGCAAGTCATTGGAAGTAATGTTCATACTATGTTTCCAAGTTATTGCAACAGCTGAAACAATTCTGCCATTATATTATTTTTATTTTAATCTACAGATTAACTCAAGTAGGGTCCATTCAGTTCTCTGAACCCAGTGCATGCAGCTTTAGAAAAGATTTGGGGAAGGCTTCTGCTTCAACAAAGGCACAAAATTCAACAGGCCCTATCTTTACCACCCACTATCCAGAGTAATCCGTTACTTGAAAGATTAGGACTTCAGGTGATAAGCATATTAAGGAAGACAAGTACCCTGCTTTCATGGTAATAAAGTAAGGAGTTGCTCTATGTATATTATAATACCGCCGTTTCTGGCACATGATAGCCATTTACCACAGGAAAAAGACTGATCATCCCAATAATCATTTATCCTGGTGAGCTACAAGTATTTTACCCCCTCACTTCCTTCCTTCATATAGGAGGAAGAGAGAATTGGGACTCCACTAAGTATTGTTTTCTGCTCTCATTTACTTTAGTTCTTTTACTGAGGTAAGAAATTGTTGCTAGAAGTCAAGCCCACAGCCCTTCCATTAGAATTTATGAAGCATTTATAGCCTTGCCCAGATGGAGTATGAGGAAGACCATTTGTTATGTACTGACGCCACACGCACCTGGTAGATCCCAGGTTAGCTGGAGCAAACTTGATGCGAGTGTCAACTAAATTATACTCCAAATAAATATTAGGATCAACTTCCAAGTTGAATTCAAGATTGCAGCCTCCAGGGATAGGGTCTAAAAAACAAACACGAGAACTATGAGCTGTAGCATCTCTCTTCTTCCCATTCCCCCAGGCAGCATTTTCACTACTGCTTTGAAATTCATCTCTTATTACAGCCCTAATGTTCAGGTCTCCAAAGAACCTGAAGTCCAAGACTCAGATCCTACAACATGCAGTGGGAACACTGAAGTTAAGAGGACTAGACATGCATAGTGGTCTGCATGACTGGAGCTTTAAATTGACAGGATCTGTACAGCAGGCTCCACAATCAGGTGGATTGCATGCTCAGAAGTTTAGTAAGTCAGTTAAGCATCAGCATCAACCTTGGTAGAATGAGTTGCCAAAGCTAAGATTTCTGGCATTTGGCAAATCTGTGTATATTCATTATACCCAGAATAGAATGCACTATATATGGCCTTCTAAAGAATGATCTGTACCTCAACTCCTGTTGCTACCCCATAAAGAGAATGCATTAAGAACAGTACCTCTTGCTGTATAAGGGATAGAAACAGCTGTGCTGAACACTTGGTTAGCTTCAAGAGACTGTAGGTACCACGTACATACGCTCTGTTGAGGATGAAGGATGGAAATTAACCCTCTGTCTGCTCCAGTTGCAGAGTTATTTGTAGAGGGAAACTAACAAAAATCAGAAAGAGCAAGTTGAATGCATGTCAGCACTTAAAGCACAAAGACAGAGCAAAGGGAGCCCATTCTGGAAGTCGCACAGATGTGGGCTATACATATTACTGATCTGCATATTGCAAACAATGAAGTCAGCTCTTAAGCCAGCAACTGCTTTATTTTCACCTTGAAAAGCAACACCATTTTGTTTAGGTTAAAAAAAAACAAAAAACAACCACCACCACCACCACCACGCAATGGAATACATAGAAACTAAACTGTAGGTACATTTTGTTTCAGGAACCACTTACATCCTCATTGCAACAGAGCACCTCAATTTCAGATGATCCAACCCAGTAGCACTGGGTCACACCCTATAAATGCACATTCTTGTTGCATTAGAAGTTAAAATAATAAACTAAGTGTTCATGGAAGAATTGGGGACCGTTTAAGCTTCAGAAGTTAATTCCGCCAAACCCTAGAGTTGATAATACATCCAGTAACAGCAGCAAAGATTCAACTGTCATTTGGCTTTTGTACAAGAACCTTATAAAAAAGGCAAATTGCAAAAACCAAGAGTCTGTTTCTACTATAAATACAAACATCTAGGAAACAGAGGACACCACAGCCAAATAAGATACTGCATTTTTCATGAGAACACAAGACAAAACTCATCAACACTAACAGCAAGTGCCTTGATATTTCTTCCTTGTGAAATAAAGCAGCCAAGAGATAGACTAGACAAGGGAAGATTCCCATTGTTTTTCAGGACTAAACCAGTGTGTGCATGCAGATGCACACAAATGCTCAAGGTCAGTTCTCTCCAGCAATGATAAAACACCCTTTGTCCCAGAGTTAATTGCTACTCTTCCTCCCCTAATGAGAGGTGACAGTTAACATGCACACAGGACGCTGCACTTCAAACCCACCTTGTCAAAGGATACTGTGACATCTTTTTGCTGGGCATGAGCTTGAAAAATAATGAGAGTCACGTTGCTTGCAATGTTCCTTATTACAGCTTCCACTGGGTTAGTCTCATTAAGCAGGACATTTCTAAACTTTCCCAGAGACATCTCAAGAAGACCTGTATTCAAATAGACAGAAGTCTTTTTTACTGTATAGTTAAGTAGATTGAAGATTTGAAGTTCAGAATGGCCAGAAATATTCTTTTTTTTCATCTGATGACAGCAATGTCAGTCAGCTACACAAAGCTCTGCACCTTAAGAAGAGACAATTTAATAAAGCCTGGCATGCAAAGTGGAGGAGAGTTGTCCTCACTAAGAAGTCTAGTTTAACAGACACAAAAACCACCACCACCATTCCAGTTCCAAGTCCTGAGCAACCAGCCAGTGCAATTAAGGGCAAGCAGCACTCAACACAGAGTAAATACAAGAGAGATAGCATTGATAGCCAAGATAACAGCAAGTTGCAAATCTGCTGTCCTAGCCAAGACAGTGCATTGACTAGTTAGCACACTGCCTCAAGACAGTTTAAGACCAAGCTCCATCCAAGTTTTGCTATAGAGACATCCACAGACCCAGGGTGTCACCCAAGGTTTCCTAGGAAAGGCAAACAGTTTTCATCTCTCCACTCAGCCATTTTGGTGCAACCAATTTTCTCTCCTTGGTGCCTGTGATCTGAGACTTATTGTAGACACAGTTAAGAATTCAGCAGAGGGAAGGGCACATATGATATTATTTGATCAGAGAAGCTTTTCTTGGGGGCAGGGAGAAAAGGAGGTAGTGGTCAGGAAAGAGGAGAGCAGAGCTAGAAACCTGGGTAGCATCTCTTAAGGCAAGTATCCCAGAACCTTCATTACTTTATAAAAAGCCTGCTAGGCTCCTATTGAGAAATCAGCATGCAACAGCTATTCTGAAATCCTGCAAGTAACCCTGGGTCTCTTCCCTCTTCTCATACTTCTGCTGCAGCTGAAACTAAAAAAGGTATACAAAAGACTATGTGGTTTGGCCGCTATCAGTTTGAAACCAAGATGTGCAGCCCATATCAAAAGATCCCCCTAAACATGAAGCAATCCAACAAACATCCACCTTATCATGCACAAGCACATACACAACCTACTTCCTCACAGAGAAAGTGCTGACATTGTCCATTATGCCCTATAACTGTTGGAGGGTGGTACTGCTGAAGGAACAGCACTAGTGAAAAGTGTTCATGAGCTACAGGAGTTTCCCAGCAGAGACAAAACGATACCCTGCTTCCACAGCACACACTCCATCCCGTTTGCCTATCTCTACAAATCTCTTCTTAGAGCTACTTACTTCCATCTTTCCTCCGCAACCAATTCTACCTAGGCCACTCTGCCTCCCCACCCCTTTGTCGTCCCCCGCCCCCATGATCAAAAAAAGCAAACAGCAGCAAATCGCATCAAACTGAAGGACAGTGCTCTCCTAGATTCACCCTGCCCTCACAGAATATACATCCATAGTTGGACCCCTTCACAAGGTCTGGCAGCCTCTTAAAACCCTGGAGAAGTTAGTGGATACGTGACCATAGAGAAGGTCTCACACTCTGGACAGCTGCAGTGGCACCTCTATACCAAGGCTGGATTCTGGGCACAGACATTCAGGAGAAACAAGCATGTCTTTATCCAGTACAATTTACATATGCAAGTCACTGGTGGGACTTAGTCCCACCAGCATTTGATAAATAGCTGCATCTAAAATATGCTTTCAGATGACCTGGTTCATTGCAACAGTAGCCCCATTTAGTTTTGCCCAAATAAGGTCAAGTCTTACAAAGTCTTCAAAGAATGCCTTTTTCTTCTTACAGACCTCAGTCTCCATCTTTAAACAGTCACAGCTTTCTTGAGTCACTCTAGCTAACAAACCACTTTTCAGCAACAGCTAAAAAGCTGAGTGGTACACTCCTGCTCTCCCCATGAACTACTTTCACACAGCTTCATTCTTACCAGATGCTTATTCATACCAAATAAACATACTGAGGTGGCATGCTCGAACAAGTTTAAAGGCATGTGTATACATGAAAGCTGTTTTGGGATGAATAGTGTGAACATATATGTGACTATTCATTCACAAGTAAAGCCAGATATGGACACCAGTTTTCCAGAATAAGTGCTTCTCCCTGCAGGGAGCTGTTGTAGAAAAGCCATTTCACACAGTACCTTACTTCAGAAAGATTTAAGGTGTTGCCAAGCCTCTACTTGTGATTGGACTTGCAAAATTTAACCAAAACACAGAGCAGAGTTCCAGAGTGATTCATCTAATTGGCCCTTTTTTAATTCCACATACCCACACATAGTTAGCCTGTCTTTTCATCTTGGGAAGGTGGGAAGTGGAGTTTGTACAAATTTACAAACTCAGTCTGTGGAGAAGGCCAAGTTTCAGTTCTCTTTATGGTTTGTGGGCCAGGTCCTGGTATTCCATACTGCTCTCAGCTCAATAGTTTCACATCAACAAGTTGTACAACAGATAAATTCTTGACTAAAAGGGTCTACGAGTAAATCTGATATCTTATTAGACCAACTCAAATAGTTGGAAAAATTCTTCTTAGCAGGCTTTTGGGTAAAAATACCCTCCATCAGGCTGAGGAAGCACCTGCAGTTGGTGTGTGCTCTTCCTGGATGAGAGGGATATCTTACTGGTATATTCAGCACCACTCACTGGAAAACAGGCTCACTTTTCTCAGTTATAGTCTCTTTTCCTGTTCTTTTCTTTACATGCTCCATGTAAAGCTCCACGTGAGCTCCATCCGAGGGTGCTGAAGGCACTGGCCGACATCACTGCAGAGCCACTGGCAGGAATATTTGAACGCTCGTGGCGCACAGGCAAAGTCCCGGAGGACTGGAAAAGGGCCAATGTGGTCCCCATCTTCAAGAAGGGGAGGAAGGAGGACCCGGGCAACTATAGGCCAGTCAGTCTCACCTTCATCCTTGGCAAAATCTTTGAAAAAATTATCAAGGCTCACATTTGCGAGAGCCC